CTTGCGCCGCCGCCCCGGCGCCGCCGCCGCCGCTGCGGGTCGTCGGCGGGGCACCCCGCGTGGGGGGGAAGGCAGCAGGAGGAGGAGGGGGGGGAGGAGGAGGAGGATGGGGGGATGAGGAGGAGGAGGAGTAGGAGAAATAGCAGGAGGAGCAGGAGGAGGAATAGGAGGAGGAGGAGGAGGAGGAGGAGGAGGAGGAGGAGGAGGAGGAGGGAACGTGAGGATCGGGGGCGTCCAGGAGGGGGGGGCGTCCAAGAAGGGCGCTTGCAGAGCATGGCCCGAAGCACGTGCGCAGCCCAGGGGGGCGGAGGGACGTATCGAGATCGGACGAGCCTTGTTGGCCCAGGGGTGCAAAGGCGTGTCCCGTTCCCCCTCCCCATGGGGTCCAAAATTGCAGGTGGGGGCCCGAGCTCGCCAACGCACCCCAGGGCCTCTGGAGCCTCCAGATCTACACTCCGTGCCTCCAAGATGCACAAGATGCCGTCTAAGCTGGCTCAAGCTGGGCTCCAAGACGCCGAGGAATCTTCAACACCACACACGATAGCTTCAAGACGGCCCAAGAGGCGTCGAAGACGGCCCACGAGGGCTCCAGAAGGATCCCCCAGATGCGGGACTCCAGCCCCCGATCCCCGTAATTGGCATGAGAGTGTGAATGCACGTGCATGCTGCTTGAGTGTTTGTTGTTCATGCTGTAATTGCGATGGCTAAAGCGCGCCTTGCCAGCCCAAGATAAAGTACTCCTGTCAAGCCCCTTCTGGAGGTATCGATGCTGGAGGTGACGCGGTCGCCCTCGAGCTTCAGCCTCGAGGTCGTCTCGGCCGTGCAGCCACTCGGCAACTGGGGCGAGCTCGTCTTCGGCGGGCCCACAGCCACCGCAGCAGGCTGCGGAGAACCCCTCGCCTGGCGAGCCAAGGAGGACGGCTCGCGTGGCGGACGCCGACGACCTCGTGGATGACACGAAGGGCTCGCAGGCAGTGGTCGGAGGAGGCGCAGAGGGCTCGCGCGCGCGGGATCCCGACGAAGCCGTGCCTGGCGGAGCGCCTCGTCCACCGTCCGACGCCCGTGCTGATCGGGAGCGGGTGCGCGGGCTGCGTGGCGGGCGGAGGGCGCGAGGCACCACGTCCACGGCGGGCGGCCCGGGAGGCTCTGCTCCCGCGAGCCTGGACGGGCTGCTGCCTTCCTGACGGCGGCCCGAGGCGGCGGCAGTCAGCTGACGATCCTGGCGGCGCTTGGAGGGGGACTCTGGAGCAGTGGAGCCTCTGCCTGTCGCCGAGAAGGGCCGAGCGCAGGTCCCGGTGACGAGGATGACCAAGGCCATCGAGGCTTCGGGGCTCAAGCGCATCGTCGCGGTGGCGGATGGCGAGCCTGCAATCCAGGCGCTGCTCGCGGCGAACAAGCTGGAGCAGAAAAACGAAACTGCGGTGTCGTCGGCACCGCGCTTCGACTCGCAGTCAAAGGGGCCCATCGAGAACGCGAATGCCAGGGTCGAGGGCCTGATGCGGACACTGATCAGCGCCGTGGAGAGGAAGTACGAGGTACAGCTGGACCCAGACCATGCCGTGGTGCCGTGGATCGTGAGGCACTGCGCCTGGACGCTGACCCGATTCACGGTCGGCTCCGACGGGCTCACACCGATCCAGAGGCTGAGGGACAGGCCCTATCGAGGGGCGGTTGCGGAGATGTGCGAGACCGTCCTCTACCACAGGATGCACAAGAAGGGGAAGCTCGAGCCGAAGTGGGAGGAGAGCATCTGACTCGGGAAGGTCTCGTTCGCGGACGAGCACCTCGCCGGCACCCCGAGCGGCAGGGAGCTCGCGAGGTCGGTGGCCAGGCGCCCAGAGGATGAGCGCTGGTCCAGGAGGCTCCTCTCCCAGGTGGTCTGCACGCCCGAGGATTAGGTCGGACGTGTCCTCCTATAGGTGGATTTGGGGGGACAATAATCAACAACTACTAAAAAATATTCGAAAAAGGGTCAAAATATCGTCCCCTGACTATTATTCCCTACCTAGGCTCTGCCTAGAAGGGTTCTTACTCTCTTTCTTAAAGGGGCCGGGCAGTGCACACCGCCTTGGGCGGTTCCCCCCGTATCCGCCCCGCGGTTCCCCAGTTACGTCCCCTTAGCTTAGCGTCGTTTATCTCATGTTAGCTTAGCTCATTTCATCTTAGCTTAGCTTAACTTCATATTAGCTCATGTTTATCTTAGCTTAGCTTACCTTCATCTTAGCTTCGCTGAGCTTTGGCATAGCAGAGCACAGCATAGCATAGCATAGCGTAGCATAGCATAGCGCAGCACAGCATATCATATCATAGCATAGCCCAGCATAGCATAGCATAGCGCAACATATCATAGCATAGCATAGCATAGCGTAGCATAGCGCAGCACAGCACAGCACAGCATAGCACAGCGCAGCATAGCATAGCATAGCATAACAGAGCAGATCATAGCATAGCATAGCATAGCATAGCATAGCATAGCATAGCATAACATAGCATAGTGCAGCATAGCATGGCATAGCATAGCATAGCATTGCAACTCATGCTGCTTTCCTAGGGGCTCCAACTTCTAGGTAGGGTCGCACTGGGGCAATTATTCTATTTTGGGATATTCCCTCTGTAGAGGGGAACAGGCCCGACTCAACCCTGGGATACGGCAGCGAGCCTGGAGCCCAAGGAGAGGCGGTGCCTCGGAGAGCACGCGCACCTCACGGGGGTCCATGCTGGACAGCTTCGGCGGGACTGCTGGGCGCAGGGCCCGCGAGGGCCGCGGCCGCCCGCACGCCCGAGAGCGCCCTCAGAGGCCGGGGTGGCGGCACTCGCCGAGGAGAGGAGGCCGGCGGGCGACGACCAGCCACTCCCTCCTCCTCCTCCCTCCTCCTCCTCCTCCTCCTCCTCCTCCTCCTCCTCCTCCTCCTCCTCCTCCTCCTCCTCCTCCTCCTCTTCCCCAGCGCAGGCGGCCTGACGCGCCCGCGGCGCCAGCGGCTGCCGCCGGCCCAGCCGGGGGCCCAGGAGCAGCAGGACGACGACGGGCCGGTGCAGGTCGGCGCCGGCCGCGGAGGCCAGGAGCTACTCGACGTCGGCATGCCCATGGCGATCGACAGCGGCCGAGGTATGGTGAGAGGTGCGAGCAGCGGCCGTCGGGCCGAGAGAGAGTCCGAGAGGATCCGCACCGTCGGAGGCCTCGTCGTGAACGTGCTGCAGCACGTGCTCGCGGCCGCGGTCGCGTCGGTCGCGGTGCAGGTCGGCGGCGCGAGAGGCAGCGCACGCAGCAGGCCGGGGCGCACGAGCGGGCGCTGCGCTGCGCCGCGCCCGCGGGGGACCCGAGAGCGGGCCCGGCGGCTGGACGGCGAGCGCCACGACGGCACGGGAGCGGTGCTCGCCCGCTGCCGCCCCGTGGCCGTGCAGGCGGCGCGCGAGGCCAGAGGCGGCTGCTTCGCCGGGGCGCCCAGCCCGCCCCTGCTAGGCGGCCTCGCGCCTCAGCCTCGCGGCGGCGCTGGCCGCGGGCGTGCGCGGGAGGCCGGCGGCGACGGCGTCTCGGTCGCACGCTGCCGCGCGCGGCTGGGCGAGGACTGGCCGGGTGGAGCCTGCGAAGTCCGAGGGCCAGGGCCCCGGGTCCGGGGGTGGCGGCTGCGGGAGGCGCTGCACGACACGGGGAGGGGCAGCGCTGAGGTTCCAGGGGCGCGTCATCGACGCCCCTGGTGAAGGTCAGGGTTCGAGCGGATCGCGGCGGCAGCGCAGGTCTTCTGCCACGCCAGGCGGCCCCTCCTGCTCGTGGCCCACGGGGACGACCTCTGCGCAGGAGGCGAGGGCGAGGAGCTCGACTGGCTCGACAGGGGTGCTGGACCAGTACTTCGTCATCAGGCGCGGGCCGCGCGTTGGCCCCCCGTGGCGCGGTGGTACCGACCACGGCCCCTTCGGCGGCGGCGGACAAACCTCTCTTCAGTAAACCACCCCCTTTAATGAAAACGGCCTAGGACCGAAACCGACGGACCTGGACCCGCAGAAATGACGGCCGCGACGCCCTCTCGCGAACCGAAAACTGCCAATTCGCTAATCGACGTGTCAGGGTGGGAGGCCTATCAACCTGCGACCTCTTCATCAAGCGCACGATCAGCTGGGACGAGAACGGCTTCCACTGGGCTCGCGGACGCGAACCACGTCGAGAGGGTCATCCAGCACAACGATCGTGCCGAGAGGGGCGTTCCCGGCAGGCTGCTGGGTCCTGGGAACAAGCACGTCGTCAGGAGCAGGAAGGATGCGGCGGACCTCCTCGACGACACGGAGCGAGGCGAGTACAGGAGCCTCGCACCGTTGGCGCACTACCTGGCAGCGGACCGCCCCGACATCCAGTACACGACGGGAGTGTTGACGAGGACGCTGGAGGATCCCACGGTGCTGCAGAGGCTCCAGCGGGAGCGTCTCGGAGCTACCTCAAGACGTGCAAGGAGCTGAAGTGGTACTTCGTGTACCAGGAGGCGTCGGAGGGCCCTCTACGTCGAGGTGGACTCGGACTGGGCGCAGTGCCCAAGGACCCGACGGTCCACAGGAGGAGGCCTCGCGTTCTTGGGCACACACTTGCTGGACAACTACTGCGGCCAGCACCAGAACATCGCCTTGTCGTCTGGCGAGGCCGAGCTCCACGAGTTGGTGAACGGTGCGGCGCACGTGCTGTTCTTGAAGCACGTGCTGGAAGAGATGTGGGTGACATGCCTCGTCGTGAAGGTTGGCACCGACTCGGCCGCTGCCCTGGGTATCACACATCGTCTGGGCGCTGGCCGAGTGCGACACCTGGAGGCCAAACAGCTTTGGATCCAGGATCGATGAAGATAAAGACGAAGGTGAAGGTGAAGACGAAGGTGAATCGCGGAGACCTGCTCACCAAGTTCCTGGATCCTGAGCGGCACTGGGAGCTGGTGAGTGAGCTACCGCTGAGCGTGGCTTCGGCAAGGCGCGGTAGCGGCGCGCTGGCGGTGGCATCCGTGATGGTCCTCCTCCCAGAGTCT